TCTATATAAGAAGTAAGATAGAGCCGGATAGTGTTCTTGCTTTAGTATTAACGTGAGACTTTTACAAGAACGACGCCCAGCTCTGATGATGTCCATCCTATGATGGACGAAAGTTCAGCACGTTTTCACCCAAAGCGATGGAGAAACTCTCGTGGACTGCGTCAACAAGCCAAACGGCTGCAGTACAACGAGATTCATCCGTCCTCATCTGGTGAGATCGATCAACGAATCTCTTCTTCACGCACTTTCATCCGAAATGAAGGTCCAACTAGTTAATATGCTTAAGGCCTTACTCTTTCTTATTCCTTATTATTTCTCCCATTTTACAAAGTTGTTGAATCACAACGTTTGTGGGTTTGGCAAACAAGAAACTAGGGCATAGGAAGTCATAAACTTGATATTATAGATATAAAGAGGATAAAGACAGTGGAAACCAGAGCTAGTTAACTAAGAATAGTCGTGATTCAAGGATCTCGTCTATGATCAAGCACGTCTATTGTTAGCCAAATAACATTAGTCTCCACCGCGTTCTTCCTATTTCTATCTGCAATACCATGTCTATCACCTTCTACATCCTAGTCTCTTGTGTGCCAACCCACAAATGTTGTGGTCCTACTTGTTTTGATTAGGCTCACTGAAGACGTCTCCTCTTTGCTTCTAATTGTTCCTTTTCGCCCTCCTGCGATCTCTTTTCCTAAGGCATGTTTTAGGTGATCCTGCCTACTTTAAATCTCCTATTCATTAAATATCTCTCGGCCAGTATATAGATAGCCTCTTGGATCTTTCGTTTTATTGTATTTTCACCATATGCAGCCAACCTCTCGGTTAATTACCAGTCGATTTCGTGCCCCGTTCTTGCAATGTGTTCCGCTATTTCGGATCTGTTGATATCCATGTTCCTGTGTGTGCCAACCCCCAAAATGCTGTGGTCCATCATTGAACCTAATCAAAACAAGCAGTACCACAACATTTGTGGGTTGGTACACAAGAGACAAGGGCATGGCAATTCATAGACTTAGTATTAGAGATAGAAACAGGATAGAGACGGCGGCGATTGGAACTAGTTGGTTGAAGGTAGGTTTTACAAGAAACGTGTTCCATGTAGCAAAGAAATGACCCTGAGACATACTCAGAGGCTTTAGCCTCGAATTAGCCACCCAGACGCAGGGGTGGGCGAATAACGCCTCGAGTAGCAGAGATGGGGTTACCGGAGTCGCGTAAAATACGTGTACCAGGGCGATAGCTACGGGGCAAGAGGGAGACTCTGACAGGACCCAGGGTAGGACTACGTAACAATATGACAGACTGTGGTCAACATTCCCAGCACAAGAGTGAAGGGTGTGAGAACGACAGCGTGGATTCAGAAGGGTTTTCATAAAGGCTGCTCGAAAGAGCACACCACACTACATCAAAATAAACACGGTAAAAATTGTGGCAGGGAAGGCGTGATAGGAGAATATAGGAAACGTGAATAATCCAAGTCAGAAGGGGAGATACCACAACTGCTTAGCACACGTTTGGTCAAAGGATGGGCTTCACTTGTCTCTTTGACGAGCTGTACTATGTTGCTACGACTGGCGAGACTTACTGACGATGCCGACTACGATGCGGACTACGATGCCGGCGAAACGTCTGGGAAAATACCACGTCCACGATCCAACTTCGGAAATAATCATGCATACAATGGACTACGGACTAGGTACGTTCCTCTAAGTCTTCCTAACAATGTGACCAAGTTGCGGAAACAAAGTCAAACAACTTCTAAACAACAAAAGGAGACTGTGATCACTCAAAAGGCCACACCATCTTGGTCTTCATAACTTCGATTGAAATATGGAAGTAATATTGCCAAACTATGCACTGAT